CAACGCAATAACCCAGTACAACAATACACTTACCTTACTTAGAGATGAACTGGCACCATGAAAATGTAAGACCGTTTCAAATCATGCATCCCCTGCTTGGTTCACCAAATTGTAGGATAGCTAAACAAGCAAGACGTAAAGCTGAGCGGAAATGGCTGAAATCTCAAGATAATTGTGATTTCGCCGAGTATAAGATTCAATGCAAAATTTACCACCGTACGCTTGAAGATACTCGGGTTTCTTACCTCCAGTCTAAGATCGACGGATGTGGACATGATCAGAGAGCTCTGTTCAAACTTGCCAACAAGCTACTTGGTAGGACAACCGTGGAAAATTTACCACCATCATCCAGTAAGCTTCAGTTGGCTACTGACTTTAACACATTTTTCGTTGATAAAATCAAACGTCTGCGTCAGAGTATCTCTATCAAATCTAAAGTTTCATCTTTCACGGCCGCATCTCATCCCTCATGTCATATCACCAAACTTGAAAGCTTTGAGACAGTCAGTGAAGACACGGTTGCAAAACTTCTTATATGTATGGCACCGAAATTTTGTGATTTGGATCCTTTCCCTACCAAGATTGTTCGTCAACTCAATTGTGCTGTCTCATTATTTCGTTCTCTTGTCAATTCGTCCCTATCCTCCGGCATTTTTCCTGACTTAAGATTGGTTAAGTTTTTAAATTCCAATAATTTATTTTATTCTTACCAGTCAGCCTTTAGAAAATCACACAGTACGGAATCTGCTGTAATGAAAGTTAATAATGATATTTTGCAGGCCCTTGACAACGGATACTGTACATTATCAGTGTACCTCAATTTGTCCGCCGCGTTTGATACCATCGATCACAGTATCCTCATTGATCGACTTTCAGCTTTAGGGATTTCTGGTACAGTATTAACATGGTTCAACTCTGACAAAAAATCTAGACAACAGTCTGTTAGAGTGGAGTCAGCCATTTCAGTTCCAGTCCCAGTGAATTTTGGTGTTCCTCAAGGTTCTACCTTGGGGCCCATTTTGTTCCTTATTTACGTACGTCCTCTTGGTGACATCATTCAGAAACACAGTATTAAATATCTCATTTATGCCGACGACACGCAATTGTACACATCTTTTTAATAGTCTGGAGGCTGCCGCAGAGACAGTTCGCAACTTAGAAGGTTGTATTGATGATGTTCATAGATGGCTGTCTATCAATATGCTTTGCTGCAATACAGACAAGACAGAAGTGCTGTATATAAAGCCTAAACACCTTCTAAATGTACCCATCATTGAAAACATCCGCGTGGGAGACACTTACATCATTCTACCTTCTGAGGTGCGACATATCGGTGTAACGTTTGACTCCACACTATCCATGATTAGACATATTACAAACACATGCAGAGTAGTATCCTTCTATCTCCGCAACATCAAGGCAGTTAGGCGTTTTTTAAATGAAGATGCTACGTCAAAACTTGTACATGCATTGGTTACATCAAGATTGGATTATTGTAATGGAGTCCTTTACGGAATACCATTAACATCAATTAGAAAGCTGCAGCTAATGATGAACATTGCTGCTCGTTTTGTCTCTGGGACACCTAAATTCCTGTCTCTTATACACATCTATTGGCACGCACAATATAAAGTGTTTCCGGTTGGCCAGGTTAGCTTTTTTTTCAGTAGGTAGTGGTTAGAAAATTAGGTGGCTTATCACAAAGTAAGCCTACAGTAAATTTTGGGCAAGGCATTTCGGATTACAAAATTTGAAAATGTCCACTTTAAATGAAGATGCTACATCAAAACTTGTACATGCATTGGTTACATCAAGAT